TGTGGTGAGAATTGAAGGGGCTTATCTCTACAACAAGGACTGGAGCCTCTTGGGAGAGTTTCTCCACCAACCGTGGTGGTCATAAGGCCTCCTCCTCCCTAGGAGTCCTTAATCAAGCATAGGAAGAATCAAGGAGTTCAAGATCTAGGGAGGAGCTTGAAGGAAACTCAACATCAATCCGGGTCTCCAACAAGTTTTCCATCAGATGGTATTTATGTTGGGTGCAAACTCGATCACGTCAAGCATGAACTCAATCATGTTGGGCATGATCTAGATAAAGACCAATGTAGATCTCTAGATGACTCACGTTGGGCATGAAACTTGTGTTATTGGGCGTCGTCCTACTTGCGAACCTTCTATTGTTCTTCTATTAATTTATATGTTGTGACTCCTGTATTGTGATGTTGATGTGGGTATAAATTGATATCTATATATGAATATATGAACATGAGTGATGAGTAATGTGATATGAGGAATTTAGGGTTTAGGGTTTAGGGTTTAAGGTCATGTGAATGTAATGCATTAAGTTTGTTTGACATGCATCATTTGCATAAAATGTGTTTTTGGGGTACGATATAGAATACACTATCAGGGAAGGTCCCTTGTGTAAAAGCTTGAGAACCAACCTTGGAGATAACTCGATTTGGAAAGTCCTAGTCCTACCCTTGTGTGCATGGGATGTATCTTGTGCGACTTAACTATCCCAACCAAACCCTTATAATGTCTTCTTAGTGAGAGTGTGCAAAGGGTGTGACCCAACATGTACTCCTAAGGTACTCTACATGTATTGCTAGTAATAATGTACATGTGATGTTTTACTAGCGCCACATGCATGATAATATGTAGTTCGTGTCCATTGCATAATGTATTATACTGTTATTTTTTATTGTTAATTATGCTCTAAATGAACCAAGTGTGATGTTAATATTTATTTGTGTATGCTATCTTTTGTTGTATGCTTGTTTGTGTTTGGATATTTGATGACATTCTTGCACTGTGAGCCAGAATGAGATATTTCTCACTCCTTTGTTTTGTTTGTTGTTGTCCTTGTGGTTTCTACAGGTGATCATCAGCATGGTGATGAAGATGTTGGTGATGAGACTTGGGCTTCATGAGGGGTAGCTCTAATAGGACATGTGACATTGGGGCGTAGTTAGGACTAGTTTAGGAGTTTGCTTCATGTTATTAAATTTGAGAGCTTTGATTTTAATTCCTTTGTAATTTTGTTATTTTCATTAAGTTTAATTTATGTTAATAATGTGATTCTCTCTAGTTTATGGATTTTGAGTTCATTTATGTCATCTAAGGTAGTTCTGTTTTATATTATTTATGTGTTATGGTAATGAGGTAGTAAGTGTTACAAGCTGGATGCAAAGTAGTCGACATTGATTACTACTATTTTGTAGATTTGGTTTACACAACTTATTATGTATTGAAAGCATACTCTGGCTCATGGGGAACTGATCAGTAATGAAGATTTAATCCCTTCAAATGATGATTGGATACTTGTCCTGAACCTAACAACTATGCATGAGAAAGGTTGACAATTGTAATATTGTCATTAGTTGTCGATGTGGTCGGTACACTTGAGGAGGATTAGAAAATGTATCTATCGATGACTCAAACCTTGAGGGGCCACTAGAAAATGCATTTGGTTGAGGATGATACCAATATGTTGATTGCAACTAGGAAGCATAACAAGTCTCTGTGATGGAGCATAATACATCCCTAACCGTCTTTGTAGAATACTAGGGTAAGCCTATTAAATGACATTAAATGCTTTCCTTTATCATTGTAGACCTTATGCTTCCTTAGAAGATGGAGGAATAAGGAATGATTTAACCTCAACTTTAGTACATCCAGGACACTAGTGAAAAAAGACTCGCCCTAGTTAAAATTAGTTATTTTTTACTTTTAAAACTGCCTATTTGACCAATTTTAAAAGAGTAAATATTAAAAGTTGGACTTTTAAAATCAATTATTAATAATCAATCTTAAAAGTCTTTCACTTTTAAGATCGATTATTAATAACCAAACCTTGAGGGGCCACTAGAAAATGCATTTGGTTGAGGATGATACCAATATGTTGATTGCAACTAGGAAGCATAACAAGTCTCTGTGATGGAGCATAATACATCCCTAACCGTCTTTGTAGAATACTAGGGTAAGCCTATTAAATGACATTAAATGCTTTCCTTTATCATTGTAGACCTTATGCTTCCTTAGAAGATGGAGGAATAAGGAATGATTTAACCTCAACTTTAGTACATCCAGGACACTAGTGAAAAAAGACTCGCCCTAGTTAAAATTAGTTATTTTTTACTTTTAAAACTGCCTATTTGACCAATTTTAAAAGAGTAAATATTAAAAGTTGGACTTTTAAAATCAATTATTAATAATCAATCTTAAAAGTCTTTCACTTTTAAGATCGATTATTAATAACTAATCTTAATAACTCAAGATTGATTTAGAATGATTCTTAGAAAATGGATCTTAATCAATATGACATAAACATCCGAATAAGGTTTTAGAAGCAAGAACTCAAGAACAACTTAGAAGGAAAGACTATGAAGTTTATCTGTATAAGATCCTAAGTTTTTAAAAATTCATTTAAGCAGATCTTGATGGCTATGAGAATCCTTAAGAAGTGTCTATATTCTTCATGAAGTAACCAAGAGCTCATATGGAGTAGATCATGTGCAAAATTGCAAGAGAAGTTGTATATATTGCTGGTCTTGGCTGTAGAACACAACTACTATTTTTGCATATAACTTAAGTTATAGATATGAGCTTGAGACAGACTTTTTGGCTATGGAAATATAGAACAATTATCTATAATCTTTATGAATATGATGTGCACTAAATATGGCAATCAAGATGAAAACATCGTCTTAAGTTGAAACTTAAACATAATGCAATAAATTGAGCATATATGGGGTTGTAGACATGCGTTTTAGCCAAACTTAGCAGCTATGGAAAGATAGAAGAATTGTCTACAACTTTGATGAAGAAATCATGGGAAAATAAGAACTCTATCATGGACAAATTTCTCTACAACATGGAAACGTTGATTTGTCCTTAACAAAATAATATTGTTGTAATGTTTTGATAATAACTTGTGCTATAGAGGTCCAAACAAAATGAAATCAATTCCTAATGATCAATAATATATTTATCTACAAATTCATGAAGAAATCCTTATGACAACTTAAAAAGAAGATTCAATATCAGTCAAGGATTGTTATTAGCCCAAGAGATAATGTATATCCTAAGCTAGAATACGGGAATCATGTATTGATGATTCAAGGGAGTTCAAGTTGGACATCTTCTCTTAGGGAAGATTCCTTGAAGACCTTGTATAGAAGTCTCTCTAATGGAATATTTACATCATAAAGCTTTAGTTTAAACTCAGTTTCTTAGAATACTGGTACTAAAGACCTTACTCAAAAGGTTGCACAAAAGCATACTCAAAAGCATGCTTAGAAGGTTGCACAAAAACAAACTTGGAAGTGATAGAAGTGAGTGGGAAAAGTGATGATTGAACTCCTCCAAGCTCCTTCTAGGCACGGATCCACTTCAAAGGAGATACTACCGAATGAATGAACACCTTAGGAAGGTGAGAAGCTTGCGGAATGAAGGCCTAAGCCTTGAAGGAAGCATCCAAGCTCAAGAACATCAAAGGATTGCTCACTTCAAAGAGAAGGAAACTAGGTTTTCCTAAGTGAATTTTGAAGGCACTCTCTAAGGTTCTCTCTTGAATGATTCGGTGACTCTTGAAAATGGCTGAAGTGAATTCAATTCAGATATCTCATATATTCAAAAGTGTTTACAATAGGTGGGAGAAGATACATTTATAGGGAAAGAACTAGGTTAACTTGGGCGGCAATTTGAATCATTCAAATTGGCGCCAAGTTTAAATTTCAATTTTGAATTCGAAATTTAAACTTTGGCTTCCCACATGAATAATTCAGATGCCAACCTCATTTAGGAGTCATTTAAGAG